ACAGAACGTGGCGAGCCGGCCCAACTCGCGCAAACTCAAGCGAGAAGTTAAGGACCTCGAATCTCCTGACAACGCGAACGCCCGTGATCCAGAATATTGTAACAGCGCACCGCCGGTTAGATCATCAACCCCACCAACAACGTCTACCTCCACGCCTGCTCCGGATATGATCCAAGCAATGGTCGCGGCGTCCAAAAGTAGCATTGATGACGCCTGATACACTTACATCGTCCTCCAGCAACAAACCGAACGTTAAATTTCCTGCACCAGAAAAGTTTGTTCCCGGGGAATCGTTCACATTGTGGGAAGAACAGTATCGTCGCTATATACAACAATTTGATGAAGAACAAAGAGCTTGGGCTGTCATCTGTTTATTGTCGATACCTGCATTAAAACGTCTCAGGCTAGCTGGCGTCGACACTGTCAAGACGATGGAAGTGGAGGAACTATTTACAGCTATGCGTCGAGCATTTGCGCCGCATACCCATGTTCTCGGGCAGCGGGCTGCATTCCACGCATGTGTCCAGTAAAGTGGCGAAAGTACAGGGGAATTCCTCTGGCGCCTTCAAGAGTTGGCCCCCGTGGCTTTCGAAGGAGACACAGCAACCGAGATTAACTCCCGTATTCTCCACCAGTTCGCAGAAGGGTTATTGCACGACGGAGTCAGAGAAAGGGTCATTGAAACTAAACCTATATCGCCCGTGTAGGCCCTACAGTTTGCCAAACAGAAGGAGGCTCTAATTAAGCTTCGTAAGAATCGGCTATTAACAGAAGGGTCCTATACTCCGCCACAATATCAAGAATCGACGCCACCTTGTGAGCATCATGCGAAACGACCTATAGAGTGGAGGCCTCGACCTTCCCCGAAAGCAAGACAAACCCCAAACCAACTGCGTCCAAGGGCAGGCTGGATGAACTCTCGCTTCCCAGAAAAAGTTGGTGAGTCTGCTTTTTTTACCCAATGTTATGCAAGTATCAAACGAGCCATATGTAGCCCAGCGTTTGCCCACTGTTTTAGTTAAATTTTATAACAGAACCCTCGTTGGCTTGGTAGACACATTTGCAGCTTGCACATTGCTGTCCAGCAAACATTGTAATAATATAGCCAAAACTGCCACCCCCCACCTAAGCATCCAAGCGGCGAATGGCTCTCGCATGAAAGCAGCTGGCGAGCTGTCACTATTGTGGGAAGGTAACCATGATCGTGTGCGACATCCGTTTTTAGTAGTTTATGGATTGTCATGGGATTTGATACTAGGTTATGACCTCCTACGCAGCTGCAACGCTTCCATTGATACTGAGTCCCAAACGATCACCCTGTAAGGTTCTACATTACTGTTTGGACCAGACAGTAGTAATACCTATTTACAGCTGAGTGTGAATGCAGTTGATGCCGTCCTGATGGAAAGTATGTTAACATAGGCTCCGCGAGAACACAAAGATTCGGTGCATCGCTTAATTTCAGAGTTTTCGGAGGTCGTATCGTGGTCCCCAGCTGACCTGGGGAGAACCACAGCTATTCAACACACTATTGAAACTGGTATTTGCGCTCCAATACGGCAACCACCTCGTTGAGCCCCGGCTAAGTTCCGCCCGCAGCTGGAGAGCGTGATTGATGAAATGCTGCAGAAAAAGATAATTGCGCCATCAAACTCACCATGGGCTTCACCTATAGTGTTAGTTAAGAAGAAAAATGGCTCCCTACGCTTGTGCGTTGATTACAGAAAATTAAACGCAGTGACTCGCAAAGATGCTCACCCATTGCCTTGAATAGACAAGATATTAGAGGCATTATCAGGCGCCGTATGGTTCTCCACCCTTGATTTAGCGTCTGGATATTGGCAGGTGGAAGTCCATCCTCGTGATCGGCAAAAGACTGCTTCTACTATACCCACCGGTTTGTATGAATTCCAGACCATGCATTTTGGGTTAAGTAATGCACCAGCAACGTTTCAACGATTGATGCACACGGTACTTAAAGGATTAGTCCCACAAGTATGCCCCGTATATTTAGACGATATCATCGTGTTCAGTCACACCATCGAAGAACACCTCGAGAGGCTGCGGATTGTCTTGAAACGTTTGAAGGGAGTGGGACTCAAAGTGCAACCCGCTAAATGCCGTTTATTCAGAATAGAAGTCACTTTCTCGGGGCACGTTGTCAGCGACAGGGCATTCATAGCGATCCCGAAAAGGTTGCAGCAGTCAAAGAGTGGCCCGTACCTAAATCCGCGAATGAGTTACACAGTTTTCTAGGGTTGGCCTCTTATTACCGCCGGTTCGTGAGAAACTACTCAGAGATCGCTAGCCCTCTAACGACTTTGACTAGAAAAAATATTCCCCTCGTCTGGACCGAGGACTGTGACCGTGCTTTTCAGCAGCTGAAAGATTCACTATGCTCGGCGCCCATTTTAGCATTCCCGGATACATCACCAACGGCTGGTAAGTATGTCTTAGATACGGACGCTAGCCACACATCCATCGGAGCCGTATTATCCCAGGTCGGTAGTGATGGCAAGGAACATGTTATCGAATATGGCAGCCGCACATTGAGTCGTTCAGAAAAAAGCTACTGCATCACCCGCAAAGAAATGTTAGCCGCTGTTACCTTCGTTCGTAAATATCAACCCTATCTCCTTGGTAAACCGTTTGTTCTGCGGACAGATCACAAAGCCCTTCAGTGGTTGCAAAACTTCAAGGACCCTGAAGGACAGACAGCTAGATGGCAGGAATACCTCCAGGAGTATGACTTTGAATGTGTTCACCGTCCTGGCAAGCGGCATGCCAATGCTGACGCGTTATCTAGACGCTCTTTCAGACCGCACGGAGACTGCCCGTCTTGCGAGAGTATTGATATTTGTGCTATTTCGTTGGCAGGTTTAAGTAGAGAACTGTGGGCCCATATCCAAGCTACAGACAATGAAACCGCACTCCTATATCATGCCCTGTTGATACAGACTGGTGGGCCAGTTGAAGCTGATGTGAAAGGGAAGAGTTGGGAGACCAGATGTTTGTGGGCGCCACTTATTAACATGAAGGCTGGTTACCCCAACGAAATAATTGGCGTAGATATCATTGGACCTTTACGGTAGACCCCATGGGGGAACAAGTACATCTTGGTCGTGGTTGATTACTTTACGAAATGGTGTGAAGCTGTTCCCCTACAGCGTATTGATGCCTCCACAGTAGCTATAGCTATATTTGATTGTTGGATTACCCGTTGGGGCGCACCCGAGCAATTGCATTCGGATCAAGGAACTAACTTCGAAAGTATCTTGGTTAGAGAGTTGTGCTACCTATTCGGGATTAAGAAGTCTAGAACCACAGCGTACTATCCTGAAGGCAATGGGTTAGTCGAACGTATCAATCGAACCTTAAAATCATTACTACACCTATTCTTAGGGGGAGAATCACAATCAGCCTGGGATATGATGTTACCGAGATGCTTGTTGGCCTACCGAGGAAGCACACACATATCTACGGGGAAGACTTCGCGCCTTTTATGGACCGGCCGCGAGTTACGACTGTCCAGTGATACTTTGGTTATGCCCCGATGGGATAACCCGCTAACTACGTTGGAAATGGTGATCAGGTTGCGAGGGGACATAGCCAGATATCATAGCTGTGCACGCAAAGAACTTCAACGGGCACAAAAGCGACAGGAACACTACTATGATCGGAAGCAGTGGGGCACACCATTCGAGATAGGGGATAAGGTGTGGCTGCATCAACCACCGAGTGCCAGCTTGAGTCGTCATAAAGCCCCAGCACAGTCGACAGGCCCATATGTGGTATACCGCAGAGTAACGGACAACACCTACGAAATCCAAGAAGACAACGACAACCCCCAGAGGATGATAGTGCGCTTCAACCGTCTGAAACCGTTCAGACCAAACCGATAGGCACTGACGAAAATTCCGCCTAATCTTGATAATCATAATAATCATGTGTTTCTTTCTCTTGCAGGGACGATGCCGAGGCAGGGAGAAAGAAAGACTGAAGTCGCTGGGGACAGCTTTTTGGAAGCGAGGGGGTCTTGTAGTGGTTCAAATTTGAAAGGAAGCGTCAGTTCAAAAACCGGTGGACGCTGAACTGTAAAACCCTAGCTCTTTGTATCTACATGTATATATTTTTTGGACTTCTGCTGGTGTAATTCGGTGTCAATTATAAAGTGCTTTTCCTCAAGTCGTGTTCTGCTTCTTCGCTCTACCCTGCGTGCTTGACCTGTATAATTGTTTGTGTTGCTCTATTACAGGCGAATTTCACCCAGATCACGTTTTAAAGTACTGTTTTGACAATATTTTCATGGGTCGTTAGGGTTAGGATCAGGGTTAATTTTGATACTAATGTTAGCGTTAGGATCATGGCTATAATTAGAATCACGGTGGGGATAAGGGTTACAATTATGGATAGATTTAGAGTTGGTATTATTTATTTTAACTTATTTTTTTATCCACATTTTGCCCTTAGTGGAAACCATGACAATTCAAACGAGGGCCTTTGTTGAAGACTCTAAAACACTATAGGAGCTACAAACAGTTCGAAAACGAAGCTCATCTTAAATAATGTGACGTAAGGTGCCTCTCTCTATGCATGTACAGGAACTCGTCTTACTTGAAAACTGATACTCCTTATTACAACTGGAATGTATATTTAAGTCAGGTCAGAGAAAGGTACCTTAAGTAATGAGTTTTCATGTAATGTTTTGTTAAAAAGACGTCATTTTTTGTGCTAAAGTCACTTATTTTTATGATTGGTCAACTTAAGGTCACTCGTGCGGTCACATCCCTGGGACTCTATTGCTCAACTTTGCCATTTGTTCCCTTAAGCTGAAAAATATAATGTCTGTTTGATTTCACCATTTTAAAGCCCGCCTCAGTAACGCATAAAACATACTAACCACAACGCTAATGCAAATGGAAATCCACCAATCACAGATCGCATAAGTAACCTTCAAGCGCTCAGCCTCTCCATAAGCATTTTGTGTTTCTATCCTGTCACAGGTCACCCGAAAGGTTATTCAGTAAGCGCCTTTAGACTTACCGTAATGCTACTTTCCTTAAAAAAGGGAGTGTATGTATATTTTTAATTCATACAGATGTGTTGTACGTGCTTTTTTTAATTTGTATAACGGCACTGATTTTAAACCTGTAAAAATTTCAAATTACTGCTTGTTCTTTTTTCTGTCTACGCATCATTTTTATTCGGATTCAGCCATACCCATCAATGACTAAAGTCATTATTCGTTCGATCCTCCTGTGAACACTGCTTTTCGATCGGGGTTATTTACAGAAGCCCTGCGAGCCAAGCTGATGACTTCATTCTAAATCACTTGATGGCGTGGAGTGGTAGAAATAAGTGTCTGGTTGTTGGTGAGTTTAACGCTCCACATATTAATTTGGGGGAATTAACATCACCTTGTTTCAACTCATAGTGACAGTGCTTGAATGCGCACTTGTGCAGCATATAGATGCACCAACACGATACTACCGTGAATATGACCCGTCCACTCTAGACTTGGTGCTAACACACCAGAAGGAAGATGTCGGTGACATTAGGTGCCTGGCGCCGCTAGGCAGTAGTGACCACGTAGTTACCACATTTACGTTTGAGTTTCACGCTGTTATGCATAGGTCAGCAGCCGCCCATCCAAACATTTGGAAAGCGAATATACATATCAATACACTAGATTGCATCACTGCACTTTTTGCACCATTGTCTACGCCTCAAAAACTCTCGCACAAACCACTTTGAATTAGTAATGGAATAAGGTTATTGAGAAAACGAAAGAACTTATGGGACCCGTTTACTACTGTGTGGACTGAAGCCAGGTAAATCACCTGGGCCCGATATACCTCAACCTAAACTGTTAATTTTCTTGGCGAATATAATATGCATTCCACTTACGGAGATTTTCCGAATGTCTCTGACTCAGGCTAAGCTACCCAGGGACTGAAAGGTATCTTACACCTTCCTTATGACAAAAGGATAGAGCATTTAAATCTCTTCCCATTATCATACCGAAGGAAGAGAGGCGACTTAATTTTAGCATACCGTATACTTAAGGGTGATTTAGGAACTGACCTATCTAACCTTTTCTCCCCTTCTAGGATACATTTACGAGGTTACCACAAGTTGCTCAAACAGAGGTCGAACAAAATACGTGTGGAATTTAGATTCTCCCACAGAGTGGTCAGCTCCCGGAACTCCTTACCTGATTTAATGGTAACAGCTCCATTGGTAAACGCTTTCAAAGAGAAGCTAGATCTCTGCGGAAATATGTATCGCAAGGACTAACACAGGCCACAAGAGCCTACTATCTTTATCATCTGAATCTGAAAATGATTTGTAAACCGTACCCGAAAAAATGCAAATACAAAAAGCGTGATGTAAATGCCGTTCTGTTTTACATTTATTTGAAGAACGTCCATATGATAAGAACGTGCTGAGTTGTAGATATATGAAAGGTACTCTGAAATCACACACTTTTTAAACAAGCTAGCTCTCGAACATGCGAAACATAAATCGCAGTATGCTACGGGATAGTCCAGTGTGAAATTAATATCTGTATGTAAATTCATGGTCAAGAATGGCAATAATGAATTATTGACTAGTGTATGAGACCCTAGATGCCACTATATCGTTGGTCATTCGATTTTATAACAAAAGTAACGAAGTTTAACTGTAATCACAGATTTCAATTTGACGAATATAGTATTTGAGGTCTTCATGTGTGCAGTTCTGCAGACTTAGTGGGGTCCGAAAAATATGTAGATGTACCTTTCGGATTCTGAACTGAATTTTCACTCCTATGAGCTCCACAAACTTCATAATAACTTCCATCACTTGCTATATTTTTTGACTCGGTTGATCAAAAAATATAGTAATGTCTGACTGAAAAGACTACTTAGAAAGTGTATTATCCTAACCAGTTCACCCCACTTGAAAGTTTAATGGGAGTTTTCACCTGATGTGGTGCTTTTATTTGATTCCGCCACCTATTTGAATGAATGCGACCCTCTGATGGGTGTCAATTTTCAGGGATACACTTGCTGCCAGGGAGATGTTTTGCTGATTCAGGTCTCAAATTTACTCCTTTTACGTAGAGGTGCCAGCAAAATCATGTCTTCTGGTAACTGTGATTGGCATACGATTCGTTCTTGTCAAAGTAAGGTTGTGCTGCATGAGTGATCTGCACCAACTTCTAGTGTAAGGGTAGGTAGTGAAATGGTTGCATTCTCTGACCACTTCGATGATTTGGGGAATTGAATCCACTCTAGCGAAGTGGTTACTAAACCATGTAGTTGTAGACGGCATGGCTGGGCTCTTCCAGGTTGTAAGAAACAATGGTTAAAGTTTCCTGGTTATGCCACTTAAAATCGCTCACACTGTCCCAGCTGTATTCTCTCCTTAGTGTCTTTGAAATTTACTGATATTGTACGCGCTGTTACCTACATACGTCTTCATCTATCGTAGTTTTATGACATTTCTCTGTTCTCCGAGGTGTGAAAACTTGAACTAATGCAATTTTATGCGAAGTTCTTTGCTGATAAGTTGACGATTTATACAAATTATTAAATATGTCATTGTATCATCCAATTATTACCAAACAATGTTCCTCGGAGTTCTTAAAATTCACTTTGTTGAGGATATACGTAATTCGAAAATAAGTCTGCTAAATACCGTTAACGGTGTCCGTAAGTTTGTCCTTTACTCCCTTCAACTGTGTGAATAGAAATATGTGTAATTCATAAGTAACATTGATCTGCCACATCATATTGTTATTGGCTTTCGGCAGTTATATGATTGGTTGTTTGCTTAGACCAGTATTTTTAACTCCCGTCAAAGTTCTGCTGAAGTCTTTCACCAACTTATTCCATCTGCTCCATGATGTCACATTGCCTGTTATACGTCGTGTTCCACAAAACAATGCTCTGGTCTCTTCTATATGTTTTTGAGACAATCGTCGTTGGCAGAATTTGAAAAACTTCATATATGTGATAATCTTCAGTTTCATGTCATTACATGCGTCCAGGAGACTGTTACATAAGGAGATTAAAGCTAGAATTGTAAGCAGAAATAGGTAAGTTGGTGAGGTTGTAAACTCTATCTCTTAAGTCATTTTCCGTTACATAGGCTTTTGGTTAACGCTTTGGCTTCAACTACTGTAATAGAAGTATCAACCTTTCACTTTTACTGCGATGAATTATTAGAAATTAAAAGATTTCTCAAGCCCTAACAAAATTGTTGGTCAGTGATCTGTTCATCATTATATCAGTCGATTTCAAAAGTTCATAACTGACTTATCTTGTTATATATCACGTGTTTAGAACATCTGTCATGAATTTACAGATTCTAGATGACTAATAAAATATTTCAATAACTTTGCAGACGAAAACTCTCTTATCATATTCGAGTCGTTAACTCAGTTTATTTTCAACTGCGGAAATAGCTCTCGATTCAACTGTTGTTTGGTATTTCAGGTATTTCAGTCCATGTACTAAACTGATTACACTCATTCTAATTTTGTGATGCGTATTTTCGCTGCTAAAACGACACCATATTGTCTCAACGTTGTTCAGTATGTCAAACTGTTTTTCTTGATATGATCTTAGAAAGTATGACTACGAAAATTATTTGTGTTCATTACTTCTTCCTGGCTCAAAATGTGGCTTCGCTCTAGCATTGAGAGCGTTTAATGTAGAATTAGCCCAGGTATGTATTCATTTCATAATATTTTGGCTGTTACGCCTCTTAGATATATGACCATGCCAAAAATATAGAACAAGCCAAATACCGATTTCAGTTTTGGAAGGACGTTGTTGAATATCTATTCAGTGGTTCTGCTAGTTCTTCGCGGTACCATACACCTCTTGAACAGGAGCTCAAAGAGGTAATGTATTGACTACTCTTGATTCGTGTGTTCTTAGTCAGTTTCATGTTTGACACTGTCAAAAGAACGCTTCTACCAATTGATAACCTCAAGGGTTTGTTACTGTTGCACCTTATGTTCTAAATAAAGTTATTTCTTATCATAGGAAAGACATTTCAACCAATCTTCGTTTCTTACCTGCAAAGCAGCTGAGGCGTATTTTGATGATACCTATACACCAATTCATTGTTTATTATCTGAAGCCTATGGTAAGTGATATGTGACGTACTGATGATATCCTGCCTTATGTAAATTTTAAATTGCATTATTATTACGATTGATTTGCTGAGTTTCTCAAACATTAAGATGTTAGGATTACTTTACCAAATATTAGTGCACATAGTGAAAAAATTTGCTGATTCGGTCTAATTCTGTTCTACTGTCATTTAGTTGCGGTTAGGCAAGTCTGCGTAGAAGTTCTCCGAAAGGTGTGTCGTTCCAAGTTGCTATTCTCTGAAACAGGGAAAGAATACTACGACCTAGAGAGGTGGACCTAGAGGTTGGTGGAGTTAATCATACATAGTAGGCATAAGGTATATCTAATTGGTGGATGGTGACAAGCAGTGGAATTCAGCGTGCGCATTTCGTCCTATTTGGGGCTCGTCAGTTGGATGTACCTGGATTCCACTGCTAGTCACCATCCTCCAATTAAATTCTAATTACATGACCAGACATCGTCGAAGCATCTGCACACGAAGCCGACATGTCAACCTGGGACCGAGCACTTCGATCCAATCAATCGACGGGAAAATCTAAAATTCAATTAAATGACATATCTGTTCGATTTTGTCGTGATTCTCTAGATATTCGGTTTTAGCACCTAAAAAGATCCAAACTGGGGTATCTACATCTCCCCGCCTAGTGCAGACCATCAACCAAAGTTTGTATGAATTGAATTTTCTCAAGTTCAGCCAGTATTTCTCTTCAGAAATGCTTACCGTGTTTTTTAATTGCACCAGTCCTCAATGGTTCATATATTCGTGGTTGTCTTACTTTGTTACCTAACAGTACACTTTATCTCAATGTGTTGAAGATGAATGCGGTTTCAAGAGATAAACTCTTTGTAAAGCTTTTAAGAATACTAGAACCTCAGTCTAATTATATGTTCAGAATAAGATGTGTGTATTCCAAAGATAATGGTGAATATTGGTAGGTGAGGAAATCAGTAAACAGACTTGATCAAGTTATATTTTGTATTATCATGCATTTTGTCAGGCTGCTAGTTTGGCAGGACATGTTATGTGAGTTCTGGATAAGTTGTAAAACATTATGTAGTAGATAGTTGTTTCCTTCAAATTTCATCAGCGAATTTGAGGGAAGTGATATCCTTCGAGAAAGTGGAGTTAAAAAATATGTTTTATCCCTTGTAAGTATTTCACCCTTCATATTGTATCTTTATTATCTGTATGTTTCCCTGCGTTGCTGACAGTCCTATTAGAAGAAAAGGTGTTTATTTTTACTTCCTACAAAAGTTCCAACTGTTCGTGCTCATTGACTATGAGTCCGGCTAAAAAACGTGAGTAAAGACTAGAGGATATTATTATTGTGACCTAATGCAACTTGATGGTGTAACTAATAGACTGAGTCACTCGACCTTCATCTAGTAAGTCATGCGTTCAAATCTCACTCAAACTACTTCGGTATGATAAATGCTGCAGAATCATTAAGTCTCACAGGAAATATACTTCGTAACCCTAGTCATTGAAAATTTATTGCTTGCAATGATACATACAATCTAGATACACTAGTATGATGTGATCTGGTCATTCCTTTTTTCCTCCTGTTTCCAAACTCACTCATAATTTGATCAATCTTTTTCTGAAATAATAGGATTCGAAATGGCAACACTAAGTCCATTGCTGAGTCATTTAGGAAAAGCACAGGGTATGGTGAATATGTTGAGGAGTTCTGTTCTGTTAGCTCAGCATAAAAATGTAGTCTTATTTCCTTTGGATTTAATAAATCAGGTGGGTTAGATTTAAAATGGAGTACTCCTTTATTTTCATGTATTTTCACATTTGTAATGTGCTTTATTTGGTTATAAATTATTCGTCTGTCAATTAAATGTGGATTATGGTTTTAAACTTCAACTTAATAACATTCATTCATCCCTCAGATAATAATTTTAATTCACCTTTGCTATTAAAATTAAAGGTTGATGGAGATAACCAAAAGGTGTTTTACATAGTACGCATTAAATATACCTGTGCCATTTCGTCCTGAATCTCTAGATATTTGGTTTTAGCACTTAAAATGATCTAAGCGGATGAATCCACATCTCCAAAATTAGTATTCAGTACAAAAATAAATGACTTCTTATATTCGCCTATTGTCTACATCATCATCTTCGATTGAATACATACATGTTAGTGGTACAATTATAATAATGCGTACTTGACTAGCCCGCTATTTTTCTAAGCGGCCCCGATTCTGGGTAAAGAAGGAGGGTTGAGCTGGCGTGGGGCTAGCAATCCTACCGTATAAAACCAATCAAGCTGCTACAGAAACTTCAGCGCACAAGGAAAATAATAAAAATAAGAAACAAACTTATACTTCGTTAAAATCAGAGGCGAAATGACGCGGGCTGATGAAAGCCCTCGAGAAACCAATCAGTCAGCCGATGTGCCTTCTATAGGTGAAAGCAAGAATAAAAATGGGGACATGGAATGTAAGTTCAATGTACGAGGCTGGGAAGGCTTACCAGATAGGCAAAGAAATCAGAAGATATGGCATAGAATTGTTGGGCATCTGTGAGAGCAAGTGGGTTGCATGTGGGCTATCGAAATTGTCAACTGGAAAGTCAGTAATCTACTTCGGTCACCCAGACGACAACTACGAGTATTCTGTGGGAGTGGCTATCACGATTTCACTAATATCAGCCAAAGCTCTAATGCAGTGGGAACCAATCTCCTCCAACATGATAATGGCAGCAAGATTCAACTCAAAAGGAAGGAAGGTCACAATTATCTAATGCTACGCACCTAAAAACAACGCGAAACAAGAGAAGGGAGATTTTTGCAGACAACTGCAAACAGTAATGGACAACATCCCATATGGCGTGCGCCAAGTCTTTATCAACCCCATTCAACAGCTACATGACAATGCCACGTGTCAGGTGGTTCATAACGGGAAACTCAGCGAATCCTTTGAAGTGAATACAGGAGTAGGACAAGGCTGCCTATCGTCACTGACGATATTGCTAATTGTAGTGGACTGGTGTATGCATCAGACCGTGGGGAGTAAGAAGACAGGAATAAGTTGAACCGATAAGAAAACTGTACAAGATCTAGATGTCGCGCGTGGATGGTTTATGTTTACACAGACTTGTGGGCGAAAACCAACAAACTCGTTGAAGAAACAGAGAAGATAGGACTCCAGGTGAACATACACAAGACGGAAGTGATGAAGATAACCAACTAACCCACAGCAACAATCACCATCAACGGTGGTTATCTGGCAGAGGTTACTTCCTTCACTTATCTAGGAAGCATCTTTTAAACCGTAGGGGAACAGATGGAGATGTCAAAACCAGTTTGAAAATCTTCTGCACTGACTTAGCCAGCATAAAGAACAAGATTCGGATTTTTAACACAAATGGGAAGTCGGTTCTTCTATATGCGTCATAAACTTGGGCTGCTTGTCACAAAAAGGATTTCCAACAGTTACAGACTTTTACCAACATCTGCCTTCACTCCCTACTGAAGATCAAATGGCCGGCTGTCCAGAAAGAATTAGCAACAAGAAAATTGGCAGCAAACCAAGAGGCGAGGACGGATCGCTCAATAGATATGCAGATGAAAATGGAGGTGGATTGGGCATACTTTGAGAAGGCGGTCGAATGACGTCGCGCCTATTGCAGGCTATCGCTCTAGTGGAATCCCAATGGGGAGCGACGAGTGGGTCGTCCGAGAGTGACATTCAGGAGATCGGAGGATGCGCGGAGGAGATGAGAGATTGTGTGGAAGTGGACAACAAAAATAGAAAAAGTGGAGATATGTTGTTGGAGCCCTATGTTCCACTCAGAACCCAAGGGAATATTAATAATAATACTACAATTTGACAAGAAATTCATTCATCGTTTTTTTGAAATATCGGATATGGTCTAGTGACTGATTAGTGCAAATCATTCCGTCTCAGGAGAAGTCAGTTATAATTCCATTAGCGTGATGATAGTTTGGCTTTTGATCTGACGAAAGCACTTTGGAGCTTCTTATGCGACATGAGTTCCCGGAAGGTCGCAAATGTATCTTATTGACAAGGATCATAGAGCTCAAATCTCCATATAACAGACCTTCTTGCTAATTAACTTCTGATACCAAACGCATTTCAGTGTCTTGTAAGTTAGTTTAGTAGGCATATTGAAAAATTAGTCGGTAAATTTTGATCAGTGGTTAGCAATTTTGTGTTTTTTCACCGAATCTTCAATTTTATGAATAGCTTGTAATAGTAATGCATCCAAAATGAGCTGTTCTCAAAATAAACAGACTATCCCTTTTATTACTTCACTGTTAAAATAACTTGAGTATCAGAATCTCATCATGAACTGACTTTGGTTAGAGACCCATTAGAAAACCTGGGAGTACTGTACAGCTGTTTGGTCAGCCCAGTTTTGGTCTCTTCATCAGTACGCACCCACCTCCAGGGTTCGAACCCAGGACCTGGTTACAAGGCGAGCTCGTAGTCTATAAAGCCACTGGGACCCGATCCAGTGGCCAACCCATAAATTCCAACTTCTACCAATTCACGATATGGCGCGACCACTAGCTAGTATTTATCCTCACACTCAACCTACTGTGCCCCACTGGTCATGACTTCCCACTAGAACTCAGGTAACTACCTACCTGAATAGGGCCAGTCACTAGTGAGCATCAGATTGGTATTCAAATGTTGATTTGCAGGGATTTGGTTGGTTTCGGGATTTCATAATGATGACACTATGGAAGAGGCGCTGAACACTAAAAAGAATCCTCTTTGAAAATGGCTACGCCGAACGTTTCATCACGAAATCCATGAAGCTTAACCACTAAAATTGCCCACATTTTCTGCTCCTAAGATACTTCTGTACTTGATTCTACAATTCAATGTAGACCCATCGACAGAAATGCTGAGAAACTGCCTGTCCTGCTCATTGAAGAAAACTTTCTTCGCGACTGAACTTTGATTTTCTTCGCAAAAGCGATGATTCCAATGAACGTCAAAGATAACCTACCACTGTTGTCCTCAATTCACCTGCTTGTGTGGAGCTGGGTGTGTTGGCTGTACCCAGCGTATGCTATCTAAACGTATCACCGAACACTCACCGTCATGGAGAAAAAGTATCCCCCCACAGCTCTATCCTGGAACCCCAGGTCGAACCTGGCCACCAAGCTAACTCACAAACTAACTTCAAAGTCATCTACAGAATACGCGGGAATCTTGCTAAAAGGGTACGAATCAAGCTTCTTCCAACCGCAGAAGCAATGCCAGTTCATGTGTTAAGTCCTGAACTCTGCATACAAAAGAGGTTTATTTATTCACTTGTTCCTGCAATGGAACTGATCTGTCTTAGCATGGGATACGTAGTTTTTGTTTTTCCAATTGTATTTCTTTTCTTCCCTGTCCTCCTTATTACCACTGTTATTAATTTGGCTCTGGTTTAATTTTAACGGAATTCTACTCAATGCTATCATCTATATTACACCACTCAATTTGTTTACTTAATTTTACTTGACTTCCTACCCGATTAACGCTTCTTATATAACATTATTTGTTATGTAAAGCTTATAATTCTAATGACATACCTTTGGAAATATTTCTTTTGTCACCAAGTTTCAACCAAATAGTTCCACAAAAATACGTACATATACGCACTGGTGAACATTCAAATCTTATCATCAACTTTGCGTCATTTGTACTGGTGACCTTAGTGTTAACGGTTTCCCTAATAAACTTATATAACAATTTCTGATGCACAAATGAGGCTGTCTACTTGCGTCCGTCGTAGTAAGTAAGGTGAATTTCGAGCTCAGTGGTTAATTAATGGCAAGTATCAACCGGTATTTCATGGTTATTTGGCTGATAATGGTTAACATTGGAATCCTGGACGTGTATTTTGTTCTGTTGCTAGGTGTGTTGCCACTGGAACTTTAACCCATGACCCACCGTTTTAAATGCCATCAAACAGTTAGTCCTGTCAGCCTCAAAACGTCGAAGCGTCCGTACTAGGACCCAACATGTCAAAAAAGGGACCAGTATTTCCGTGCAGCGAGAAATTCAAAATGATGAGTAAACAGTATATCATATATTACCAATAACAAAACTTATCATTGTGTGTAAACTATTGAAATATAATTATACTTTATTAGTATATCATATCTTTGATAAGCATGAAAATACTCCTAATAGATTCTCAATGATCTACATGTATCTGTTTTAGTTTGTAGTTTAACATTATGGCTACATATCTAAAAATTATGTACACTGTTTTATCAATTTTCATTCTATCTGTTATTTCGAGATTTTGCATTCCCCTGCATATATTTTATTGGGTGTATTTATCTAAAAGCATTCTAAAACTTGATTTCTACTAAGGAACTAATGTGTTTATTATATATTTTACTTCCGCAGCATAATTTAACTCAAGAACACATACTTCGTTTCTTACGAACAGACATATCATTAATGACACACTCCGATGATGAAGCTGTCAAAGCCCTGACACAGGATATTGCTTCATTGGGTCATTTTCACACCAAACGTGTTTCAAAATTGGCCCGTGAAATTATGCTGAAGTCATTCTCTACTCCAACATTCAATTCATTAAAACTACAAGAGAAAGATATGCGACAGCGTAGCTTAATACAAAGTACACTGCCCAGATTATTACTGCCTTTAGTGCCTGTAATTAATTATTTGAATTATTTAGGTTATTCATCCAACTTTGACGTACGCCTTAATTACAAGTATAATAATGGTCTGTTACCATTACAATTGTGTTGGAATGCATGGCGTAATAAAATACCCCAAGGTCTTAAAGAATAATCTTTTTTCCTAACTCCTATTCTGTCATTGAGTTTATGTAAAGTGACATTTTTTACTCATAGTTTTTTCCAAACAATTGATTGGTCGATTTACAGAAACTGTAGATAGTGTACATAGTTATCGTCTTTTGTTTTTTGTTTGAATCCAATGCAAAATATATCCCAATTGCCTTTTGTATTAGCTTATTTGTCATACTACTTAATTCATAGTAAGTACCAAAAAGGTTAAGTAATGGAAATATACTTGTTCGTGGGGTAGTGATTGTTAGGCCATAAACATATGGGACAAATTCTGATAATGAGGTATTCAGGGTTTGTTAGCTTTAAGTGATTATAATCTTCGTCATATATTTCTATGCGTGATATTTTTTTATCGTTTTAGTAAAACTACTAAATCATATTGTCATTTGGTTGATTGTGACTAGCGGCGGAATCCAGGATTCGCCTTTCATCTTATTTGAGAATTATCAGCTAAATGTGCTTTCATCCTCAGGTATCCTGTTAACGATGTAAAGATACTTAGAAATAGTTGTTCGACGAATATTATCTTGTTATTATCAGTAGAGCCTGTGGTATTGTAAACAACTAGCAGATACCCAAGTTAAAATACTATGGGTAGTAGGAATAATAGTCATTCTAGCTGAGGTTACATTTTTATCCTCTTGAGTAGAATCAAAAATATGAGGGTCTCTTGATTCTTTCAGAAACGGTTCTAGGTTTCTTGCATCCCGGTTGTTTTCAGTGTTACTTCACAAAGAAGTCCTGACGCTGAAACTCCATACTTTTCTGTTCTAGGAGGATTTCAGACGGTTATAATGCCGAAATAGGATAACTATAATTAGTAAAATTGGTTATTTCATCTACTCGATTGGTTGACTAGCCCTATTGATTGGTTGTGTGCACTGACTGACTTAGCTGTCCAACTGAGGAGACCCACTTGTCTTCGTTAAATCTTATTGTCAATTAGCTGTCATTTGAACATGACTGAAGAAAGAATCTCACAAAAAAGTTCATCATTTCACTTTTCCACACTAGGAATAAGTAAACAAAACTGTGTTTAATTTCCGATACACGAAGGTATACGGAGAAATAACAAGTAAGGCGAGGAATTTTAGAAAATATTAAAATTATATCCTAGAATATGCCCGACGGCAAAATACCGATAAGGATCATTTAATTCCATATTAGTTTGTTTATTAGATATATCACACAGTGAAACAGTTTTATTTATTGGATGACGCTTCGAACAAAATTCATTGTTCATAATCCTTCCATCAATTATAATCACGCGACTTTGAAACTTGAGTTTTATAGTTTTCTTTGTCCTCTATTATTTGTCGTAAGGGCAGGAGAGAGGAGGAGAGGCACAAAGGACAAAGAAAACTAAAAAAAGTCATGTTTCGAAGTCGTATGATTATAATTGATATGATTATGAACAATAAATTTTGTTCGAAGCGTCATCCAATAAGTAAAACTTTCACTGTGTGATATATCTAATAAACAAACTAATATGGAATTACTTGCTACCACAGTGCCCAAGTTTTACACATATATTAATAAGGATCATTTACATATACCAAAACATAACCTCGGGAATAGACAACTTTAACTGCTAAAAATGTTGAATAATCAAGTAAGCAGTCAATAGCCTGAAAATACATACATACAACCATTGAATCTTCGTAAGTAGGTTGTTGACAGGAAGTTTGTTCTTAAACTGGCAGCAGGAATCGATTAGGGTATATTTAAATCTTTCCAGTTCATACTTAGACTAAGGAATTAAGTCGTTGCCGTGGCAAACAGGTTTCCAAATTGAACATCAGTTTCTAAATGATTAACTTGACTACGTCTATCACAGAAATTTAAACCGAAAGATAAAGTTTCAAGTAATGTCTTATCTAAACATACAGAAGATATCACTTTGTTTAATTTAATTGCTCTTTATTTTTTTCATATATACCAAATTGACAAGTAAATGTATGGTCAGATTGTTCGAAATGTATAGCGCAAATACATCACATTTTTGAGATGATCTCTGTCTTCTAATAACACCATCCAAATTTATAAAATGGGCTAGCTGTTTTCAATACAAAAGCGTAGCGGTTGAAGTCTATTGGAAAATTGGTTACAGTGGTTTCTCCATCTAGTCTATTAGTAGCCAATAAAAGTGATTCATTTAATAGAGCATTCATCAATCCAAGTATGCAATACACAAAAATGTATGCCTTGAATATAGCACATAAAATCCTAGGGGGTAAGCAGAATTAAATCGGAAAAATTGTTTTCCACAAACTATTATTGTTCTCAAAATAAAACAGCACATGACGGGAATATTGAAACTGGCAGATTTACCACTTGCAGTGTAATTTTCGCAATATTCTAAATATTGACTGTTGTGCACGTGAAGCGGATATGAAATCAGGCTTAGTGGTGCTGTATGAAACAAGTCAGCTATTTAGCGGATATGTTTTGAAAACGTTGGTTCGAGGAATACATCTTGTTACAACGACGACGCAAATGGATGAATATAAGTAGGATTGTGCAGGTCGGAGACTTAGTTATCGTAGTACCAGAATTTACTGGTAGGAATCAGTGGCCATTCTGGCTCGTGCAATGGGTGTTGCCTAGTAAAGATGGCTTCTTTAGACAAGTGGAGGTGAAGGCAATTAGGGGAGTATTGGTAGGGTATATTGAGAAGGCCTGTCTCTCGGAAGCCAGCGATAATAGGGCTCATCAGGGTGGTATCTAGGCGTACTGGTGTAAGTCCTAGATACGTACAATAAGGAGGTAGATGAAGGGGTTGCCAGGCGAATCGGTGAAAGACCTTGGTAACCAAGGGCAGCATATATTAGTTAAGCGTGTGTGTTGTGGAAGGGTTGCTTGTATGGGTATAGGGAGTGCACATGGTTTGTTAGTGAATCTCTTGTCTCTATTTAATGTTTGGCGTATGAGCGTATTGTGTAATCACTTACCTGGATGACTAAATACGCTGTTGTAAATATTATTTAATTTATTATTTGGAAAAGAAACTAACATTCTTCTGGTGGGAAGTGTCACGTCTAAAATTGCACCTTTAAACAGTAGAATTGTATTTTTAATACAATTTTGCAATTTTATGCTAATTAGACCGTTTGTGGTTCATTTGGCTGCTGTACACTTTTGGTTTGAATGCACATTCTTGTTAACTGCGAGCCATCTTGTATTCAGACATAGTGTTCTTGGTGTGTGGATGCCGGATAGCCCCATATTTGAAGGTTTATCTCATGTTATCTGTCCTTCTAAAGTGGCGAACTCATACCAGGTAATTGTATTCAGACTGGGTCGCAAATCCACCCGCTGCGGTGAATGAGATGAATTTCAGAGTCAGATGTTTTCATAGATACTTTATGGACTGACCCTACTGTCATCCCAGTTCATATTCTGCAACATATCTCGTAACTTGTCATTACTTGCTCCGACTCAAAGTGTCTGTTGTTCTGTCTACTCCTCTTTGTGGTAGCAGCTGTCGTTATTGTAGCATCTTATGGCTTTAGGACTGAGGTATTACTGTCAACTAACTTCCGTAGCCTTGTCGTCAATTCAGAGTTCGATAAGCTTTAATTCTTAGTTGATCCTTCTGCCTGTGTAGCGTGGTTAGCTCCTCAACGGCAGTAGTGGAGGTGTTCGCGGGCAAAATTATGTGCAGATATGGCAAAATACACATACCTTACATTAAAGTCACCATTTGCACATGTTTTATTGTGCTTATCCTCTTCTCCATTTAATCCGTCGCTTCTCTATTCAATATTCTTTCAGAAGACGCCACACATAACATACTACTTACAAAATCTAGTCAGTAGCACTCGACACAAACTAATATATTCTCTATAGTACAGTGTATGAATCTAATATGCACTGCTAAGTTTTTACTGATTTCATTCAAGACATGGAGGTATAGATGTTAGAAGTCACAGTGGCAACAGGTGTGATTTAATTAAGACAGGTAAATTTTGATGTGGTTGTGTTCTCTGAGCTGCATAGTTAATTTGCGAAGCTTTCATCGCCCTACTAGGTGACATCTTCAGCGCATATTTCAATTTGAAGTGAGCTTTTAGATTTCTCCACGAGTTTATTAATCATCTCTCCCGGTGATGAAAGCTTCGCAAATTAACTATCCAGCTCAGAGAACACAACCACATCAAAATCATCCACCTGAGCTACAAATCTTCTCCATCATATCTAAATCTTACCAGCGGAACAGAGGTAAATAAAATTTCTACGCTTTATATGAACATTTGAACAAAATTTCCTTAGTATGCTATGTAAAATCTCACAGGTTCTAAACAATAGTAAATGGATGCCAAAGACACACCTGGGCTGCACCTATTTTTGTTGAAATATTGCGAAACTCTAGATATTTCCTGGCGGAAGCTTAAAGATGCTATTTATCATGTTGGCTATGGATATTTTGTATTTTTTTCACAGCTGCTTGTTTCACTAGAAGTGTCAAATTTACCGGAGTTATTGTTTACTCACTCTTGCACAATTTTCATTCTTAAGATGACGCGAATTTTGTTAAAATAATACGAGACAATTTTCATTTAAATAGAAATTTATGAAAAGGAATTTTAAATGATGAATAGCTTAAATTCATCTTTCAACGTTTATCTGGTTGGATAAATCTTGTAGTAAGATGGTAAATAATACTGACTGGTATGAGTAGTCAGAAGTCACTAAAGTCAAACGGGACAAAACTGTCTGCACACGATGGTTGAGTGAACTAGCACATCACCATATGGTCAGGCAGAAAAGTATCACTCTTGACAGAACAACAGATAATAGGTGTTGTAAGAAATTTAAGATCACTTTACAGGCTAGCTGTGTTTCTCTGTTTCAATAGTGCTAACGATTCGTTACCAGAATTCCTGGTGACAAGAGGAATTCCAAAATCACTCGTCTAACCCACTGCCTATGTTCCCCTGTTTTTCAGAATGTAAACTCAACAAAGTAGATTTCAAACAGACAGCCATGGGTTCTAGAATTTATTTACTCATTAAATGGCTGAACAGTCTTCTTGTTTATATCCTTCAAAATAACACATATTTGGT